CCATCGTCATTTAAGAATCTCTGTAAATTAATAAAATGCATCACAACAATAAGAAAAATTCTGACAGTTTAAATCCCAAATATATCTGTTCCTAATCTACCAAAAATTTAATTTCAAGGGAGCCAAAAAGTGTTCAGCGTTCTCCCTTCCAATTAAACATGATTATTATGACAATGATGATGATGAAAATGAAAATGCATAAGACCAATTCACAATATTAATAATATCCATTCCATTCTTTCAAAGTGCTCTCAAGAAAATTTTGATCGATAACATTGAGCCAATAATTTAATTAAAAAAATATTTTATTTTTCCTCATTTCGGTTCAAAGAGACTGAAAAATATTAAAAGATAGCAAAATATATGAGCTGCAAACAACCATAGAGAATTGAAATGGAATGGAATAGTTCAACCCCCGTCACCCTCTTTGTCGTCGCAAACGAGAGCTATGAATAGGAAAAAAAAATTTAAATTAATGTCAACCCTCTGAGGCACATGTCTTTAATGAGATTTCTTCTCTATGACAAGAATAAATGGATTTTTATTTCTCTTCTATTTTATGACTGCATGTAAGTACGAAAAATTGATCAGTTACAGTATTATTGTTACATAGCTTAAACAATATCCCTGAGTCGATGCGGAGGGGTTTCAGCCATGCACTTTTGTCATAAATCTATCTTTATCTCAATGCCAGATTGCTGTATTTTTTATATTTTTAAAAATAACATTATTGATCCCTTCATGATACCAATCTCAATTTCTCCTCTTTCCTTTCCAATTCCTCATCATCATTCATTCAATCAATTTTCTTCTTTGGTTCCTCTCACTTGCTCATCTAAAATGTTAATGCAATTCCATGATATTAAATTGCCTGTCTTGGATTTAAAATGCATACAATTTTGTGTGCCACAACTAAATCCCCTTTTCTGTCTTACTGTACACTTACTTTTATTTGCTAAATGAAACGAGAATGATAAAGAAGAATTGGACATGAATTTTTATTCTTTAGAGATTCTGAAATGTCGAGCTCTGCTCAATGTCAAATTATGAATTTACTGGCCCAGTTGCAGGCACAGTCATTGAGATTATTTATTTCAAGTTCATCCAAAAATAAAGAATTCTTTGGTATGGGGGCTAGTTGCCAACTAAGTGATGTTCATCATTCAAGAAAGTGTTTCTTAAACTTTGTTCAGCGGTCTGAAGAGTTAAGAAAAACACTGAACTAGTTGACTGACAAGGTAAGATGAGGTTAGGGAAGAGAACTTAATTTTTTGACTCAATCCCTCTTCATACCATAAACACCTGAAACATCACTCTTGATTGACCCCCACTCAATTTTGCCGAACACAATTTAATGCAATTTATATCGAAGCCTCTCTATAGGTACCTCAACCTTAACATCGAACATTCAAAGAGTAAAATAAAATCTCATAAAAGAGATGAAAATTGACTCAATTCATTCATTCAATATTGGACAATAATAATCCTCAATCGAATAAGAAATAAAAATTATTCTCGGCTCTGTGTGTGTTTTATTCTTCCCAATAGCCTAGCTATAGTAAGTCCTATGTGAAAATTTACTCCAATGCAAATTTAATTTAATTAAATTTCTTGTTTAAGACCTTCAGCATGATTGAAAGGCGTTTGATTGCAGACTTTTTGCTCATTGAATTGTAAAAGAAAAAAAATCATACAATAAGAAATAAGGCAGTAAGATATTATGGTGAGACAGCGCACGTTGCATATATTCTTGTATATTACTGCCATGTATACGAGTCAGTTCATGATGTTGAAGTCAAATGAGGAAAACACACAGTAAAACAAGTAGTCGCTTCAACTCGTTATTCATTTCACAAAAATGTCCATACAGACACTGAGCTTATTTGAAACGCTATTTAAATTTAATTTTTTTCTCAATATATATTATATTCAGCTATTGATTGCGATTTATGGGGAATATCTCTCTTTTGCCATATGCTGGTCGACTCAATATGACAGTTGTCAAACTCAAAAATGAATGAGAATTTAAATTGATCGACAAAAAAATAAATTTTGCAATTCTTTTTGTGGAATGTTGGCTTAATGTTGACTAAATACTCAAAATGAGGACTGAAAATGGACAAGTTGAAAGTAAATTCTTCAAATGATAGTTTCGGTGACAGAAGATCTAAGCAAACATCAACCATCATCTTGGATTAAAATCAATGTGATAGCAGGTAACTCAAAAAAAAAAAAGCTAGTGACAAAGTTGACTAAAGGAGATAGACAAAGAAAAGAGAGACAGCAGCAAATAGAAGAAAAAAAGTTGTGAAAAAAATCGTGAAGTTTCGAGTAAATATTTGAATGCTGCCGTTGCTGATTTTTTTTTTATTTTTCATCTCTTTAAGTTCTTTAAAGTTAAAAGTTTTATAAGTTAGAATATTTTTTGAGGTTATGGTATAGAGCGCATTTTGAGGTTATTCTTGCTTGAAGTTGGGATGTTACTTTAAGAATTGAGACATGCTTTATTCCTTAATATGATTACAAGTTAAGTTCCTAGTCTGGCTGAACCTTCTGAAGCTTAGTTGAACCAAGCTAAACCTAGTCAAACAAATTAATTTAACTAGTGACGCCCAAAAGGTATACAAATCAACTGACCCTCTTGATATACGCTTAAGTGCGGCACATCTTATGATCAACCACTTAATCCTCAAAGAATCGACAGATCGCAGCATCTAATATGTTGTGTACACAAGATTGCTTAATCCCCAACAAATATTTCACCTGTCCATAAATTAATTGAATTTTTTCTATCAAATGACTTTAAAGCTTAAGAACCAATTGACTCATATTTTCAACCAGTCATCTCAGCCATTGAGAAAGAGTAAGCGCATTAATCCCACTTGCCGCTATTTAAAACATGTTTCGAGGAAACAACACGGTAGACAAGAGAATGATTGAAGTCACATTGACAGGTACTGAATGTCTGCTTAGCAATACCGCATAAGAGATAATATTTACATATTTAATTAGAAGCCAAAGCTGCTAACTGGCATTTCTTTTCCATCTCAGTCAGTGTTAATACTATCTGCATGTATGACTTTTTTTATTTTTTTTTCTGCCACATCAATTGTGTGTGAATTTGTCCTGAGAAAAGTCAATTAATTGAATAAAATTAAATACCATATGTGGAATTATTTTGTAAATATTTAATTAAATATTTATGTGCATTATAAAAAAATAAAAATTGCAACTGAATGCTTTTGGATCTCTCAATTCATATGCTGTACATTTTTTTTTTGTTTCAATTGAAATCCCATGGCATGTATTCATGTTTGTTGAATTGAATTCTTTGATGTTTGCATACTGCTCAAGGGGTAGCAGTCAGAATATGTATGAAGCTTTGTGCTCTATTCATTCGATTCAACTTTAATATAGTTTTTTTTTTGATTTTTAAATTTTTTTTGGATTTTTTTCTGAATTTTAAATTTTTATCTGTTTTTTGGCTGAATTTTTATTTTTTTTCTGATTTTTTTATAAATTTTAATTTTTTTTATTTTGTAAGAATTTTGAAATTTATGAAAAAATATAAAAAAAAATTCAATAAAAATTCTAGAGCTATAAACTTCCATAAACGGAAGCAGAAAATTTATTAAATGTCAAAATATTTGAGATTTCGATACGTACACATAAGCCAGCAAGAGTAAACAAGGATTATAGAGATATGAAAGTAAACACGGATTGATGATTGTGTGAATAATTTCGCTTGAATAGACATTGTTTAAAAGCTAATTAAACATAATTCCTTCCACTTCATTTATTTTACTAAACCTTTCTTCAAATAGATTTTTGTGGGATATTAGTGGCGATGGCTATTAAGTCAATGAAGGATGTTGTTGTTGGAGTCGTGTTGCTAAAATTTTTTTTTTATGGAAATAAAGTAACCAGAGTAGCACAAGTCAGATAATCGAGATCGATAAAAGACCCCCCCCCCCCCTTTTTAATTTTTCCATAAAAAGAAATCTCCAGCTCTTCAATTTACTAGCTAAATTCTTGATTTATCTAATGGTCGCTCACTTATGACGTTCGAACTTTAGGAGGGGGGGGGGGGGTAAGATTTGACCCCTTAATTTTTCCAAACAAAAAACAATTCTTCCCTTTTTCAACTCCCTGCTTAAGCCCTTAGTTTATCAAACAAAATTTCCATATAAATCGTGAATTATCAAATTTGACTAGGTTTGGCCAAGAATGTTGTCATAAAAACAAAAAGAAATTTAAATCCACGAAAAAATGCCAGACAATATTCAAAAAATAAATCCACATCCTTCAGTATGTCTCATCCAAATGATTTCAAGTCATAAATTATTTTAAACCCTCTCAAGATTTAATCAGCAGTCACTTAATATTATAATCTTCATACATGTTAAATTTACAACTTTATATAGATTGGCTTTAAAAAACAAAAAACAAATTCCCTCACTTCACATTTATTAACGCCTTTATTTTTATCCACCTTTGCACAGCAAACCCTACCCATGATGATAATTTTCATTTGCACACAATATCGAACTTATTGAATAATTATTCAATAAAGTATCGCGAATATCTTTATTGCATTAAATATATTTTGACGGGTCATTAAGTAAAGGTTTTTATTTTATCACATCTTGTCTCAACGACCATTTAACATCTTCATATCGCCAATAAGCAAATAAGAGATACGAAATGCTGAATTTTAAGGAAATTACCAAGCACAAAAAGAACTTTTTTTTCAGCATGTTAATTAAATCGTTCTCATTTTTTTGCGCACACAGCACAAAGGTTTATCTCTTTCTACAAATATTAAAAAATTAATTTATTTATTTAGTTGTCGGACGTCGGAGCCTTTTGAAATTTACTCTTGTTTCTCTTCCTCGAATGGCAATAATGAATTGAATGTACAATTAAGAAGAAGAAATTCCTTGCTTTTTTTATAGAAGAATATTAATAATATTAAGAACATGAAAAATCACTTTGCATACCTTCTGTGCTTTACATATTTGTGAAATAGGCTGTACATCGTGTGAATTGTGGCGCTGCTCATTTAAACATTGACTGCACGTCGGCAATTTACATCCCAAGCAAAACATTGTCAATGATTCGGAATGTTCTATACAAATACTTTCACGAACTTGCGATGCACCACGGGGTCTCGTTAAAATGTGTTTTGCCAATGGTCCACGCATTGGATGACACGAATCGCGACACTGATCACAATATCTGATTTCACATTGTTCGCATACAACAGATGCGACTCGCGGTGTACTCGTGTCACACATTTGACATCTTAATGCTTCGCGTTCACAGAACCGATCGACAATTGATTCCATTGTTCGATAAGCGGGCAGATTTCGTGCACCAGATTCGTCAAAAAATACAATTTTACGACAAAGTGGACATGCAAGTGAATAAACGGATCCAGATGGTGGAAATAATAATCCTTGTAGATTTGGTGTTCCAGCGTATGAGTTTGGACGTGAATTATAACAAATGACACCAGAATCTGCCTCACTCAAAATACTGACTTTATCCGCTTGATCTTGATCACTTGAGACACTTTCAGTTGCACTCGAGCTGCCTGTACTAACAGACGATGACGACGATTGGGAATGTTGTTGGAGAAGATGTAATGATGGATGATTTATTGTTGTCGTGGACCCAGTAGCTGTACCATTTACTGCGGCTGCATTTCCAACAGTTGTCGCTGGCGTCTGATTATCCAGTGCACATGCTAGACACACTGCATGATAGCACGGCAAAAGTACTGGATTCACATACAATTGCTTGCAAATCGGACACCTCAGTTCCTCCTCCATATTATAATTCCCAATTGAAGGTTTCGACATCGAATGGCTTTTTTTGGATAAATTTCTGTTTGCATAAAATTCATAAAGTTTGTGAATAGAATTGAGTCAACATAATCGAAAAAATTCCAATTCTTGATTTTTTTTCTTCTTTCTACTCGTTCCTTTATTCTTGACTCAAATCAAATTATTATAATTTTTTTTTTCGTTTGTTATTATTTTTATATTCCCCGGTATATCTTCACTATTCTTTTATATTCCTTATTCTGAATATTTTTTTTATTTAAATTCATTCAAATTTTATTATTCTTGAAATTTTATTTTTTTTTGCAGATTCTATTCACAAAAAAAATTATCAAAGAACTTCTTAATCACTTTTCCAATTTTCCTAATTTTTTTATATCATTCACTTTAACCTTAACTCGACATCCCCTTTAAGAATTTTTTTTTCAATTATTCAATTTCTTTCCACTTTTTCACTGAACTCTTAATCCTTTTCTTTTCTATTATTTTTTTTCTCCAATGTAATCCTTTTTAGACACTTCTTCTGTGATCACACTTAATCCATACACTACCGTGCGGTCCTCTCAAAATAACTTTTTAATTGAACTTTAATAAATTTTAATTCACTTAAAGAAGGGAAAAGTTGTTGAGAAAAAATTTTTTCGACACGCGACGAACTCGAAAAACATCCGCTTTCATGCACGATTGAAATACTATTGAGACAGTGGATAAATGAACTGAAATGCTCTGTTGACGGTATATTATTGTAGACCTTATTTTGGTAGATCTCTCTCAATTTTTTTGGTGAGAGTAAAAAATTGTTTTTGTGAGAGAAAATAAAATTCTGTTGCATATTGGACTTGATTCTTATAAGAATTTTGTTCCTGTGTAGACAAAAATTGTGTTTCATATTCAGACTCGTTCCTATTACATATGATATATGATACGGTAATAAGTAAGGTATGAAAATAAGAAGTAGAGGACCTTTTGTAATCATTGAAACAATCAATTGACGGATGTCGAATCTATCCAATATTGACACGACCATTGAAATTCAAGATCGAAAATATGGCAATGATATTGTTCATAAATAGTATTTAAGAATGTTCCCAAGACAGTTTGGGATCGACTATCAGGACACGTGGCATCGCAATCAACAAAAACGTGTGTTGGTACATAACATGTAAGGCTGTTGTATGATGCATTGATACTTTGAACCCCTTTTATCGCTGTTTTCTCATTTCTTTTACTAGTCTGGGGTGCTGTAAAAGTGATCAAAGATAAAATTCAGCATGATTTTATTTTTGAAGACATTAACATTGAAATTTAAAATTCAATTGAATTCAATTATGAAGATGGTACTTATTGTGAAAAAAATATTGTGCATTAATGTTAGAGTTAAGGTTCAGGGACATACTCATAGCACTTTTGGGGTTATAACCACTTTCTTCAATTTTCAAGGATTTGGGATGAAATCTTATAAACCACCCCATCCCCCCTGGATTTTTAAAAAATCATCTGATCAGGAAGTTTTGGCTAGTTGGGAGATGTTTAACGAAGGCAACAAATTTTTCACTTGTCCTTTTTCGAATCATATGTACTGGAGATGAGGCTCACAGCCTTCCTTTGTAGGCTACAGGCAAAAATGTCAGCAAAGGAGTGGTTTGGATCTCACTATAAATTGTAGGTCAAGGTTTGAGCGCAGTGGTTTGGCGCATCCTCAATCGTTAATCTCTCATTAGTTGCGAAACGTTCTAGCGCACCTCTGGATCACAATTGAGGTGCTGGGGGCTTTAAAAATATGGGTTCAAAGTCAACCATTCTAAGCCAATTGACAAAGATTCTACAAAGCTATTTCAATCCTTTTCCTTATTTTAAGACATAAAATTCAGATCCCATCTAAAAATGTGACGTCATCAACACACAACCCCCTACAAGTTTAAAAAAAAAACAATTAAGCTAGACAAACATTGTGGTGACACTATTGTGACAAATCAAAATAAAAAGAAGACTTGAACAATATTTCAATGACAAATTTCACCCCCGGTTGAACTCAAAAATTTTAAAGTTGACATTTCTCACGATTCTACTCAACAATCAACAGCTAGCAAAAATTATATAACTTACATGACTAACAAAGTACAGCAGAAAAAGGAGGTTATTGATTTAATATTTATTTATTTTTTCTTTATTGGTGTAATGCAATAAAAAAAAATTCCTTTTCATCAACACTCGACTTCCACTCAATATGTGTGTCTGCATCCACATCCATTTCGTTGATTTCGCGATGAGCGACGAGAAAATGAATGAGAAAAAAAATTGCTAGTGAGTGAGATGAAAAATTATGCTGTCGAAATTTTGCTACACTTTTTCCTTACAATATTTCGAGTCAACAAAAGATGATGCGACTTGTGCTCCCCTTACAAAAGACGAAACAATCCCGGAAATTAATTTTTGATAAGCATCCTCTGCTAAGTAAGTAACATTTTTTCCTCACTGTCTTTCTCCAACCACTTCTCGAACATCAAACTGAAATTTTTCATCATCAACACATCACATCACAGAATCTATTTATCGCGATGAAATATATTAAGGAATTTTTGCAGCAATACTAAGAAGCTACTTAATGGGAATCAAATAACAGCATTTGACCCACTTCGGAGTGAAACTTTTCATCTCCACCTCCTTGAACGTACTTCTTTTTATTTCTTTTCATGTCCTTAACTTCATCGTCATATCCACATACACATACTTTTTCGCCATTTGCCAATGATCTTGATACGATGATGATGGCTTTGATGAAATGCTCAAATGACACGATGAACTTACATTTTAGCATGCTGCGTAAAGTTCTGCTGTTTTGTTACTTTTTCCTCTTTTACTTTTATAGCTTTTTGTTTCTGCTTCTTTAACAGTTTTCTTTTTTCGGTGGAAAAGTTTTAATGTTATTACAACAACAGCGTTTTTGCTGCTCTTTGGGGGTGAAAGAAAGAAAAACTTTACTTCTTTTTTTTTGGTATTTTTCGTGTTAACTTAATTTCTGTTATTTTTTTTAACGATGAACGTGTGGAGACGGTATTTTTGATCCAGTGGATTAGTTCTGGTTTTTGTTGAGTATTTGACGGATTTTTGCGAGGTACATGAATGTTTTGATGGAAGTGGTAAGCATTTAGTCATATGATGATGAAAATGAGGGTTATGAGATGTTTGTTGAGGTTTAGTGTGTGAAAGTTTGTCTTGCTTGATAAGGGTTTAAGCTTTAATATTGAAATATTAACCGATAAGCGTTGAAACTTATCACATTTTAGTATTCTGCTAGACATGAACATTATTAACTTATAAATGAATAGTTTAAGATGTGCAAATCAAGGAAATGGCAATCATATGGCAACCTCAAGGCTGCTAAGCCACACATCATTGCCATCAGCCCATGACGCGAAGATTTTAGTAATTTTCAAAACATTTTACTTTATTTGTCTTAAATCTTGTGCCTAGTCACTTGAGGAAAGGCACATCACGCGCCTAATCACCCCAAACCCTTCATTTGCCACTATTTTTGATATGCTTAAATGGTTAGGCTTTCGATTATCAACGAATTAAAATAAATTGTATGCAAAGCAAGTGCCACATCCATTCAAACCCCTGAAATCCATAACCCAGACCATGTCAGAACCACTTCCAGCATAAATTGGTCCCTGATTTCTTAGAACACTTCGATTCACGATAAGTTTTGGCCAACCCTATTCACTCTCATTCTTAATTCATGTAATTTTAGAACCTATCAAAAAAGACTTGACAACGATCCATTCACTCACAATTTTGAAATAAAAAAATTTCAGTTCTGAAGAAAAATCAACTTTAAGAGAAATAAGGCATTGAATTTCACATCCCAACTGGGCATTAAATTGAATAAATCGAGTCGATGTTTTTTTGGGAGTTGTTCATGAATGATATCTCTCATGGATTTATTTTTAAGTCCCAAACCCGATTCTTTTGCAGGATTTTCCTTCAAAAAGTTCAGTTTTTATGAAGCAACCCACTCAAAAAAAATTAAACCTCATCCCAACAACGTCCATTTAGAAGACTTCTTGTTGTTTCTTCAAGTTTGAAGAAAAATAGGAAAACACGAAGATGAAAAACTTTTCCATCACGTCTATAATGTTACAAATATGGACACTCACTACTCACCTAATTTTCTACTGATTATATAAATAAATAGTAAAACTTAAAAAGAAACAAAAGAAGTTTAAAGTGCAAATGAAAAGTAAATATGGAGCAGCAAGCCATTAAAGAGCTGAAGCAAATCTCGGAAATGAAACTTTATACAAGGCAATAAGGAAGTCGAGAAGGGAAGAAAATCGACAAAAAAAATCGCATAAAAAGAAATGAAAGAAGTAAAAATCGATTCAATTCCTAAGTCGAAATATAAATAACGATAAAAAGAGGAAAAAGAAAAGAAATGAAGGAGAAAATTACAGGCGAAAAAAGTGGCGCTCATAAATAATAATAAACGTATATCAGTAAAAAAAAGTATTATATAAAAAGAAAAAATCAGACGAACGACCTAGTTTCCTGACATGAAAACGCATAACATATATCCAGAAGAGAGAAGCAGAAAAATATTATCGAAGGGTGGCAAAAAAAATTGCTATCAAGACATAAAAATTAGATTTAAAAAATATTATTTCTTCTATTTCTCCGTCTCCCATATTTTTTATTCCTTGACTTCTTGTTCAATCCTGTCTATCTATTTATCTATTTCTGTATATACATACATATATTGACATTATAGTGATGCAATAGACATCATCATCATCAACATCATAATCGACTAGAAGCTAGAAAATTCAAAAATGAGTTTTTAAGAAAAAGTTTTAAAGGAGCTAAGGTAGAATGCGCTTTTTTTGGAACTTCTAACATTCTTGTGGCGTCTGAGCAGATTGGAATCTGGGGTATCAAGCCATATATAAGCGAATCTGCCAGTGTGAGAATCAGGCCTCTGTGGCGCGAGTGGTTAGGCAATCTGTAACCCTCTATTG